GAGCTCTACTCATAATAAAAATAACTTTCATTTTTATGGTGTTTGACAGTTGACATGATGCTGTCCTATAGACACTACCCTGTTCACTCGTCCTACCAACTGTTGGAATTGGTGAGATGAGCACATGATATAGATTAAAAATATCCTAACGATGAACAAGATTACATATATCTGGTCTTTTATTCCAAACCTATTTGCTTGTTCTTCTCCCCACTTATGACACCATGGTGGAAATCAACACTAGCCTTGCCACTGTGATGAAGTCACTAACTTCAGGATTTTTTTTTTTTTTTTTTGGTCCAATAAGTGAGTTAAGTCTACCACACATGAAACAATAAAGTAAAAAGGGGAAATTTCCCTAGTGATTGCACTTGCCAGGGAAACCTTAATATAAGATGCAAAGCTTTAGGCTACATATGCCCTACATATTCTCAGAGAAACCTTTGGAGACTCAACTAGCGTAGATTAATCTCGCTCTCCATCAGCCTCCTGCACCTTAGCATTGAACTCATTATGGCTCACCTTCTCTCTAAGTTATAGATGCTGCAATTGGTTCTCATCCCAAATTGTTAAGGTTCTTGAAGGCCACAGCCGTTATCTGTTTCATCCCTTTATCTCCCATAATACCTGTCAGAGTGGTCCTCAAGAGTTTTGTTGAATTAAAAAAACGTACAGCAAGTGGATACGCAGATTCTGTCCTGACTTCAATGGGGGAAGAGAATTAATGTATTTGAACACCTGTTGTGTGTCAGCCACCTGGCAAAGCACTTTTCAGTCTTTCAGTATAGAAATCACTTGAGATAGATGTTATAATCATTAGTATATTTAAAAATGTGTAAACTAAGCTCTGCAACATTAAGAAGATTTTCTGTACATTGTAAGTGACAAAGTCAGGAAGCAGTCTAATTTTATCTGTCTCCAAACTACCTGCTGCTTCCCACTCCTTAGCAGTGCCTTGTACTACAGATAATCTTTGGTAACAAATGGTAACCCATATCCCAAGTGGGCACATCATGTTTTGGATTCTGGTTAAAAGTGTAGGGATCTCCTGTAAACTGTGTTCCCATAATTCTGGGCTTACCTCAGGTTTTCGCTTAGAAATTTTAGAATTTTTTAAAGAATTTTACATCAAGTGCAACAAATCATCCTGTCTTTAAGAAATGAATTTCCCTCCATGCATTCATCACAGTCTAGTTCTGGCTGTCAATTTTGCTAAGCTAAGGAATGAGATGTCATGAGTGCCCTAGGCACAGTCTTACAGAACTACTTCAATTAATTAAATTAACTAATTAAAGAATGGGAAGTCAAGTTTCTCTCTGCCCTCTCTCCTCTCCTCTCCTCTCCCCTCCTCTCCCCTCCTCTCCCCTCCTCTCCCCTCCTCTCCCCTCCTCTCCTCTCCTCTCCTCTCCCCTCCTCTCCCCTCCCCTCTTCCTTTCTCTTCCTTTCTCTCCTGTGTTCTTTTCTTTCTGTGAAAGATACAGTTGCCAGACATAGTCATCTACCCAGTGCTCCAAGTATAGCAGAAAATCTTGGGAAGTCATCATCAAGATAAAACAATCAACAAAACTAAATGCCAATAGAATGGGAGAAGATATTTGCAAATGATGTATCTGTTAAAGGGTTAGTATCCAAAATTTATAAAGAACTTATCAAACTTAACATCCAAAAAGCAAATAATCTGGTTAAGACGGGCAGCAGACATGAATAGACACTTTTCCAAAGAAGACATCCAAATGGCTAACAGACACATGAAAAATGCTCAACATCACGCATCATCAGAGAAATACAAATCAAAATCACAATGAGATACCACCTCACATCTTTCAGAATAGCTAAGATTAAAAAAAAAAAAAAAGCAACGGATGCCGGCAAGGATGCAGAGAAAGGGGAATCCTCTTGCATTGTTGGTGGGATTGCAAACTGGTGCAGCCACTCTGGAAAACAGTATGGAGGTTCTGCAAAAGGTTAAACATAGAATTACCCTACAATCCAGCAATTGCACTACTAGGTATTTATCCAAAGGATACAAAAATACAGATTTGAAGGGGTACATGCACCCTGATGTTTATAGCGGCATTATCAACAATAGCCAAACTATGAAGAGAGCCCAAGCGTTCATTGACTGCTGAATGGATAAAGATGTGGTATATATATACAATGAAATATTACTCAGCCATCAAAAGAATGAAATCTTGCCATCTGCAATGACGTGGATGGAGCTAGAGAATATTATGCTAAGTGAAATAAGTCAATCAGAAGACAAATGCCATATGATTTCACTCATATGTGGAATTTAAGAAACAAAACAGATGAACATACAGGAGGGGGAAATAAAAAAGAGAGAGGGAAACAAACCATTAAGAGACTCTTAAAGACAGAGAATACACCAACAGGTGATGCAGGTAGGTGGAGGATGGGCTAGATGGGTGATGGGTATTAAGGAGAGCACTTGATATGATGGGCACTGAGTGTTGTATATAAGTGATGAATCTTTGAATTTTACTCCTGAAATCAATATTGCACTGTATGTTAACTAAATAGAATTTAAATAAAAAATAGAAAAAAATGAAAACCTGGGAAGTCATTGAATTATAAAGAAAGTTGATTAAAATAATAATTTAGAATTATTTTCCATATGTTCATTCATAAGCATTTATTAAGTACTTACTATGTGCTAAGCAAGCTGCCTAGACATGGAGGTATAAGCTGATTGCCCTGTGCAGCTCACAAATCTAGGAAAGTTGCAATTTTCTAAATAAACAAGTATTCACGGTACAATGGTAATAAAGAAGAGAAATATTAAAAAATATATATTTTTTAAAGACTATTTATTTGAGAGGGCTAGAGAGAGAGCATAAGTGGGGGAGGGGAGAGGAAGAGGCAGAGGGAAAAGAAGCAGACTCCCTGCTGAGCAGGGAGCCCAACACGGGTCTAGATCCTAGGACCCTGGGATCATGACCTGAGCTGAAGGCAGATGCTTAACCGACTGAGGCACCCAGGTGCCCCCCAAAATTACAAAATATTTGATAACATCAAGGTCTGCTCTCCTAAAATATTCTCCCCACCTCTTAAAACCATGCTAAAAATATTCCATCATCAGTGCATTTGTGACTATCATAGCGCTATTGATGACTAATGAGCTAATCATGGTTCTATTGATGACCAATAGCTCCTGTAATTCAAAGGTGTTTTCAGGCATATGGCAGATGTTCAATAAACATGTTCACCAGGCCTGCTACAGAAGATGGGATTGGTAGATTTGAAGAAAGCAGCTTAATTTGAATAAGAAAGAAGAGCAAATGATTCTTGGTTTACTTAGCTTTATCAATGAGTTCACACAATGCAAACTACTAAACATCTATAAGACACTTCTCACAAATTCTGCACACTCTTCAAGGCTTCCAACAAGCTCTGAACCAAAATGTGTGTGTGTGTGTGTATAAATATATATACATATATATAAATTTCTATATGTACATGTATTAAATACTTTCTCTAATGGAGATGGTTTTTATGCTCTTTTAGCAGTAAAAATTATTAACTACCTACCTAAATCGCAGGTGGAGGCCATTTGGGGGGAAATTTCGATTTTCTTTTAGTGGGGATTTCAGAAATGGTAATGAACAGTGAGAAAAGTTTCATGGTTCTCTTAAGTGATGACATAAGAGAGAAAGAGGTGATATAGAGGATTTCGTTCTGTATGAGCTGGCAGGCAATAGGGAGACAGCATAAACTCTGGGTATAAGATTCTTGAGACTATGTTTTATTTTTCCTTCTAAGGAAAGTATTCCAGGATACTTAATATTAACTTCTTGCATATTGTAAACACTTGAAAACAAGGGCAAGTGTGTGAAGACAAATGAAAAGCTTCAAGTTGACATCTTGGATTCAAATAACATGATTGAGTTTAGGCGCATCATGGCACACCTCTTGGAATCTTCTAGAAAAAATTGAAGCAGTATTTCTTTTGGTGTTTGAAAGATACAAATCTTTATGTATAGAACTGGGCCTCTTGTTTCAGGATATTTATCATTCTTGGGATTTCTGCAAACCCCACCCCCTAAAACACTGAATATCAATGGCACCTGCCTCCCCTAATTACATTGACAACCAAAAATATTGATCCTTCCATCTAAACACCCCTAGAAACCCAGTTGAAAACCATTTGAGTAGAGGGAAGGAGTTGGATGAAAAGAAAAAGATTGATTTTCATCTTAATTAAGGTTTTCTTGTTGATTTGTTGTGTTTTGTTTTGTTTTCCATTCAAGCAACAAACTCAACTCTGGCTGTCCAAGGGGGAAAATAATGAAACTATATTTATGAGAAGAACTACTGGAGTCACCTAAAAAGTTTGAAGAGTGTTAGAAATCAGTGCTCCCCTAGAGTTATTGAACCTTAATATTTTTGTTGCTGCTTTATAAGATGATTTGTTACACACCCCCACCCCCAAAAGAGTATGTCTTATTATATTTCTTTTTTTTTTTAAAGATTTTATTTATTTATTTGAGACAGAATGAGAGAGAGAGAGCACATGAGAGGGGGGAGGGTCAGAGAGAGAAGCAGACTCCCTGCCGAGCAGGGAGCCCGATGCGGGACTTGATCCAGGGACTCCAGGATCATGACCTGAGCCGAAGGCAGTTGCTTAACCAACTGAGCCACCCAGGCGCCCCTGTCTTATTATATTTCAAATTCATAGCAGAGAGTGTGTTTGACTAGTTATGGTCATGAGTCTTTCACTTAGGAGTCACTCAGCTAAGGAACCAGGGATTAGCTCAGGATTTGCCACTAAGGAAGTACTATAGTACTAGCCTTATAACTAATTCAAGTCATCTGCCACAACACATATTTTACTAAGGCTTCCTAATATTTGAAATTGTTTGACTTAGGGGTCAACATTTAAAAGTCAGAAGGTTCTAAGTAAACAGTTGGATAACACTTTGAAAACTCAATAATCAAGCAATATCATGTTTTTATTCCCACATGTCTGCAAACAACTGAAGCCAAGAAGAGTTACTCTTCAATGGGGAACCTACTCCCTGTATGCCAGAGAATGAACTCTGCTATCTTAAATTACTTACCGGATCCTGCCAACATCTGAGTGTGACTCCCACATTTGTTAATGAAGTGGGTCTTAGAAGTGTCATTCTCCTGGGATGGACAAAAGAGCTCTTTAAAAGCAATACAAATTAAGAAAAGTAGAAACATGTGCAAATATGATGGATAAAATGTGTAGTTTTAAGCTTTCTGTGTTACCATTATTTCTCTAGATAGAAAAAAAAAAAATAAGACCCTAACAATTTCTTCTAAATGTAGAAGGAAAAGGAAAATATGTTGATTTTGAAGAAACAGCCATGTGCTATTTATAATGCCTTTTAAAAAGCAAGTGAGTTTCTGGAATGTGCTGACTGCCTGTTTTTGGCAACTTCTCTTCTGCTCATTAGCTATTTCATATAAAGTAACATGAGAGTCCCAGCTGTACCTATTAATTCATTAGAGAACTGATTGCATTTTCATTTTCACCTTTTTGAGCTATCAGATGCATATTTATTCCTCATAAAAACGTCTTCACTTGCCTACTTCACTTTCAGTTTTTATTTTAAACAGCAAAAAAAGATTCTTTTTTCTTTTAGATGCATTTTGACTTGCTACTTGCTCGAATCAAAGGAGAGAGTTTTTGTTTTTGTTTTTTTTGCTTTCCTTTTTCTATTTTCTATCAAGTTCCAACAGTTGATAACAATTTTTCTTTTGAGAAAGGGAACAATGTATCTTTGGATATTTCTATTTCCAAATAAAATGGAATTTCTTGAACATTTACCCTATGATTAAAAAAATCTGATATTATTTCTTTTTTAAATCCTAATTTATGTTATTTATTAATGTAATGTACGTTAACAAAAGCCTTTTTTCTGAGTATTCAATTTAACTTTGTCTTCTATTTACCCCTGAACATTGGCCTTTTCCCAATCATTTGTAGGATGGCCTAGGAGATATTTTGGTCCACTGTTTCCTCTTTGAATTGATAGCTGTAAATATAATCAAATAACCTTTTTGATCACTCTCTAAATTTGGAGAATCTTTTGAAAATATGGGTGTAAAAGGCCTTTTTAAAAAAAATTTAAATTCAATTAGCCAACATATAGAACATCATTAGTTTCAGATGCAGAGTTCAGTAATTCATCAGTTGCGTATAACACCCAGTGCTCATCACATCATGTGCCCTCCTTAATGCCCATCACCCAGTTACCCCATCCCCCACCCACCTTCCCTCCAGCAACCCTCAGTTTGTTTCCTATAGTTACAAGTCTCTCATGGTTTTTCTCCCTCTCTAATGACTTCCCACTCAGTTTTTCCTCCCTTCCCCTATGATCCTCTGTGCTATTTCTTATATTCCACATAAGAGTGAAACCATATGATAATTGTCTTTCTCTGATTGACTTATTTCGCTCAGTATAATACCCTGCAGTTCCAGCCATGTCAATGTAAATGGTAAGTATTCATCTTTTCTGATGGCTGAGTAATATTCCATTGTGTGTGTGTCTATGTGTGTATATATATATATATATGTAAATAAAAATCACAATGAGATAGCACTTCACACTGGTCAGAGTGGCTAAAATTAACAAGACAGGAAACAATAAATGTTGGCGAGCATGCAGAGAAAGGGGAACCTTCTTACACTGTTGGTGGGAATGCAAGTTGGTACAGTATGGAGGTTCCTCAAGATGTTAAAAATAGAGTTACCCTATGACTCAGCAGTTGCACTACTAGGTATTTACCCCAAAGAAAGCAAGTTGTAATCTTGTTTTAGGTGTTATTAGATAACATACTGTACAAATCACAAATTTTCATATTCTTAGAATTTCCTCTTAAATAATATGTTCTGCCAACCAAGTGATATTTGCTTTTGGAAGGACTTCCAAAGAAGCATTTCCTCCTGTGAACTGGACTTCTAACACTGTACTTCATATCCTTGTTTGATTCCTTTATTTGACATAAGCTGAATTTATACAATGTATTGTGTTCTCAAGTTTATACTGTCAAGGCTCATTTAGGGTCCATTTTAAAGGTAAATAGGTGATTTCCATGTGAAGTTTTCCTAGCTTTCTGTCCAGGTTCATTGTTGTGCCCAGTGTTAAATCTATTTAAAGGAAAAATTGCCAAACATTGAAAAGCTAACATGATACAATACAGGACCAGTATTTCATTTTTTTTTAGAAAGATTTTATTTATTTATTTGTCAGAGAGAGAGTGAGAGAACTGGAGTGCACAAGCAGGGGGAGAGGCAGAGGGAGAGGGAGAAGCAGACTCCCTGCTGAGCAGAGAGCCTGATGCGGGACTCGATCCCAGGACCCTGGGATCGTGACTTGAGCTGAAGGCAGCTGTCTGAACGACTGAGCCACCCAGGTATCCCAAGACCAGTATTTCAATTCTTAATTCTGCCTTCGAACATGCTTATGCATGAAGTCTTTGGACTCTTTGACTCTTTGAAAGTACCCGTCTATCAACTGCAGTTTTTTTTTTACCCATAGTAAGAAGAATAACTTATCTATTTATAACTTCTTTACATGTACTATTACAGTCATATGTGATTTAAATAACACACATTCACACTTCTATATAAAATACAAGATGAGAAATTTCTAGAGGATGAGATAATCATAAACAGATGTTCTAATTTTTTCTTTCCTTACCCTACTGCAGTGTTTTTCATACCCAGTTTTAAGAATCTACATAGAAGGGGTATGATAATGGTACAGATCAGTGGTATAAAATATTGGCTCAGATATATTAAAAATAAAAATGAGTAATTTAATAATTTTCACTCAAGGTAATAGAGAACAAAGCAAAATCAACTCATACTATTCTAAACCTGTCTTTATTCAGTTTTTTTAAGAATAATAATTAGAAAACAACCATGGGAAACATTTAATCTTTTATATGCAACTTCAGAATTTAAATAAAGTGACTAGAATTTATTGGCTTGTGTGTTTCTAGTAAGTGTGCTATAATGTTTAGTATTTACTTAAATTCAGTCACTTAGGAAACAGATAGGAGCCAGTTGTAAGAAAGCTAAACATTTACTTTAGAAGTTTTGCTTAATAACATTTCAAGTTTGAAAAATAGAAATATAATATAGATAAGATACAATTTTTATTTAAATTGTCAATACATTTTAAACTATTATTTTATTTTATTTTATTTATTTATTTGTCAGAGAGAGAGAGAGAGAGAGAGAGAAAGCAGGAGCGGGGGGAGGGGCAGAGGGAGAAGCAGGCTCCCCGTTGAGCAAAGAACTTGATGTGAGACTCCATTCCAGCACTCTGGGGTCATGACCTGAGCCAAAGGCAGATGTTTAACCGACTGAGCCACCCAGGCTCCCCCAAAATAGATATTTTAAATTATATTTGCACAATTGAATACAGTTGGTTGGCACATTGAGTTAGTTGGCTTACCTTTCCTCATCATCACTAACTTCAAGTTATGCCTCATGGTAGAGGTCTTTGACTCCTGTGCTTTCATTCTCCATATGAAAGCATTTGTATTAATCTCAAACTACCTCATTTTAAAATTCCAACTGAAGTTGTATGTTTTCCTTTAGGTTTTAGCTCTATTGTTTAAAGTTCTTGCTCTACTCAGAATCATTTTCAGTGTTTTGGCACTGAAATATACGCTTCCTTGTTCTGAAATATATTTCCATAGGTACTTGTAAGTAAACTGCTAGAACCAGAAGGAACATAATGTCATCTTTGTTTGATTCATTCAGGTCCTATAAGATCTTTTAATATAACATCATTATACACAACAATTACTGTTACACTCCTGCCACATAGGATGCTGATTCTGGCATGTGTCTTACCAGAGGCAGAGATTTATTCAGAGGTGTGAACATGGCTGCCAGGAAATTGACCCATTTTACCTGCTGGCTCTGGTTATGGGCAGACTCAGAAACTCTTTACTGTCAAGTAAGATCAGCTTTTCCTAGAGAAATATCTGATATGATTAAGATTATTAATAGTTCACTCTCGGGGTCAAATTAGTTTGACAAATTCTTTTCAGAGAGTGAGTTTTGAAAACAGGGCAGCTTGAGAGAGTGAATTGCACTGGGTGTACGGGGTACAGTACTAGATATGACTAAGGTGTAAGAACAGGTATGAAAAGGAGGAGATAAACATGCCAAGTATATATTTTTAATGTAAACTTATAAAGTTGTGATAACCAATGCTTTGTTACTTAAAAATCACATTACCTGGTAGTATGGTGTCATCTGTGAGTACATTTTCACTCGCTGAAATTTATAGTCTTCCTTTCCAAATAAAGCTTAGTCTGAATATAGTTTACAGTTTTGTTTAGATTTACTTGATAATGAATAAATTTGGGGGTTGATAAATTGGTATAGATTAATTTATAATGCTTATGATTTTTGAAACTGTATAACTTATATGTTTATATGTTATTAATTATAAAAGTAAATATAGCTGTATAGTACTGGGTGACAGTCCACAAAATTGGTTTTCTTATCTAGTGAATTTTAAATAGCATTTAAGCTTGAATATCTTTGTTCTGGGAAAAGAAAGAATTTGATTCAGCAATATAAAGTGTAGGCTTTTTTTTTTTTTTAAAGATTTTATTTATTTATTTTGACAAAGAGAGACACAGTGAGAGAGGGAACACAAGCAGGGGGAGTGGGAGAGGGAGAAGCAGGCTTCTCGCTGAGCAGGGAGCCTGCTGCGGGGCTTGATCCCAGGACCCTGGGATCATGACCTGAGCCGAAGGCAGAAGCTTAGCAACTGAGCCACCCAGGCGCCCCAAAGTGTAGGCTTTTAATGGCAACCCAAATTACCAGGAGATATTTAATTGGATCCAAGACTGAATCAGAGGTAGGACAGTTATGGGCACTTGGGCGATGTTTCACATCAGTGGCTATTAATTTATTCTTCAAACTTGGAAAGTTAGACCTCTTGTGTATCTGGTAGAGGTTAACAAATATGCATTTCCTAAGTTATTTGCCTTGTTGCAAAAATACTGATTTAAATATTATATGAAATTAAAAAATAAAATTTGACTAATTAGAAAATTCATAGTATGTTTATTATATGATATTTTACTTTCAATATAATTTGCCATGCATTTTTATGAAATAAAAATTCATTGTTATTTGGACTTTCAGTTTGATCTAACTGGTATGAAAAAAATGCACACAGATCTTTACATTAAAAAATATATATATATACACACACACTCAAGAGAAGGGGTCTTTTACTTATGGACATACTTAGCAATGAAGGTAAAATTTGAGCAGAATTTATGCCTTTAATTTTATATACATATTTAACCTTGCAAGCTAGATAGTTAAAATTTATCTGAAAAACACAAGGTAATACTTTGGTATATCATGCTTAAGATGACTTACTCTATGTGGTAGAAACAGTCTCCCTGTCCTCTAACATTCAATATTTTAGAGTCATAATCCATATTTAATAATCAAGACATTGAAATAAGTTTTCCCTTACAATTCAATATATGTTAAAGATTTGAGTCCTACTTCCTAGGTCTCATGTAAACAAATTCTAAAATATATGTATTTGCTATTTCAATGCTGATTTGTGCATTTTTTAAATGTCAGTTATACCTAGTTTACTGTGATTCAGTGAAATATTCACATGTGCTGAACAATGCAGTTATATGAAAATGCAGATAAAGCACTGCCACTTAACACATCACTACACTGGTTAAACTTTGAAACATTAATCAAAGCACATTAAGAGCTGAATTTGGAGTGTGTGGAAGAACAAAAGCGGTCTTTACAAATTGATTGAAAGAAGAACAGTCTCACACTAG